CCTTTTAAAGTCACTTTCCTTGTAAAGGATAAAGCACAGGGGACTTCCTTATCATGTTGGCTTAAATTGGCCTGTTTGGGGATCTCTCTCTCTTGTGTTTTCTCAGAAGGTCAAACAACTTAGTTTCAGCTTGATGATGTGGAACTTCAGCATGAGTGACTCCCTTTTGGTTGGTCTATTGGGGCTGGTGCAGGAGCTCAGTCCAAATCAATAGCCTCCTACAAACTTCATTCAACAAGCTCAAAAGCCCACTGTATTTCTGAGAGAATTATGATGGTAAAGAAACTTAGATCCAGGACTAAGAAGGCCTTTTACTTGAACTGCTTGAGCCTTCAAACAACCTTCAGGCCCACAATGTAAATCAGTAGCAGTAGACCTACAAAGCTCTGCATTGCCTGAGAAGATTCCACCCATTTGTCTATCTTAGCTGGCTTACAGAGGAAATGTACCAGGGGCTGGGGCCTAGGGCCACAGTGACTAACAAATAAGGGCAGATCTGTGTGCTAACCAAGGAATGTTCCCCATCCCCACAGTGGCCCTTTACTAATGGACCAATGTCTACTGAGGGTACCCTAACCTTCCTTTTTCTAAAAGGGAATTTCTATAATAGTTATCCTGCCTCTGCTGTCTCATTGCATACTAGGTATGAGGAGGGAAGATCATTTGGTTGTTTACATGGGCTGCTGGGTCCTGAGGAGCCTCAACTGGCCTTGATGGAGGAAACAGAGTGTGATCAGTTATTCTAGTATTTGTGGAGGAATTAAGATGTGTGGGAGGGAAGAAGTTTGTGCATGGATATTTGGTGGCTAGAGGGGCAGACATGGCACAGAGAGCCAGGTGTCCTATGATGATTCAAGATACATTCCCATAATGTAGAGTTGGTGCCAGAAGTAGCTGCCCAGCTAATGACTATGCTGCTCTGCCCCCAATGCAGTTAAAAGTGGCCATGTGCCCAAGCAACATACAAAAGTTATGTACCCACTTCCAGGGTTGGACCATGAAGCCCTCCTGCATGATCCTCCACATTACCTTTGCTAAATACTTTCCTCCATGACTGTTAGCTCCATGAAGGGAGAGGATAAGTCTGTTTTTACTCACCCCTGTATCCCTAGAGCCAGTCTTAGTGCCTGGTACAAAATAGTTTCAAAAAGTTTCTAAAGTAAAGTTGCAGAAAGTCTTACAGAGAGTATAAAGTGAGGGTGTTGAGATATAAAGCCAGTGGCTGGCTCCAAAGCCCATGATCTTAACTGCTTTTCACACATTCATTCATTCATTCAGTAAATATTTACTGAGCATCTACTATGTGCCAGGCAATGTTCTAGGCACTAAAAATACAACAATGAACAAAGCAGACAAAACTTCCTCTCTTCATAAAGCTTATATTTTAGAGGGGAAGTCCAGTGGACAAAACTTAACAAAACAAAAAATAAGTAAAATAACACATTAGATAATAAGTGCTCTGGAGAAAAATAAAGAAATAAAGGAAAATAAAGAGTGAATGAGGCTCAGCGCTGTGGATCATGCCTGTAATTCTGCACTTTGGGAGGCCAAGGCGGGAGGATCACTTGAGGCCAAGAGTTTGAGACCAGCTTGGGCAAAATTACAAGACCCCATCTCTTAAAAAAAGAGAAGAAAGCAAAGAAAAGAAAAGGAAAGAAAAGAAAAGAAAAAAGAAAAGAAAGATTAGCCAGGTGTGGTGGCATGTGCCTGTAGTTCTAGCTAGTCAGGTGGCTGAGGTAGGAGCCCAGGAGTTCCAGGCTGCAATGAGCCATAATCTTGCCACTGCACTCCAGCTTAGGCAACAGAGTGAGACACTGTCTCTGAAAAATATATACATAAGTAAATAAATAAGTAGTGAATTTTCTAACACATTAACCAGAGAAACTAAACAAGGAGCTACCCATGAACAGATATGTGTATGAGAAGATACTTCCTGGGAGATGCTCTAAAGTAAATAAACATACACAATTATCAGTTTGGGAAAACAGCCCTAAAATATGAACAACACTCAGCATATATCCATATATTTCTTTCTTTTTTTTTTTTTTTTTAAGACAGAGTCTCACTCTCTTGCCTTGGCTAGAGTGCCGTGGCGTCAGCCTAGCTCACAGCAACCTCAAACTCCTGGGCTCAAGCGATCCTCCTGCCTCAGCCTCC